TGACTTCCAGGTTCCCTATTATCAGAAGCTACTCAGGCATAGCCTCAGGCCTCTTGCTGGAAAGCTGTTGAATCCTCACTGCCTCTCCCCTCTCCCTTGAACTTTTCCCAGAAACAAGGCCCATTAATCTCCTGGACTCTGTCACCGAATCAGCCATCCCTCACCAGAGGACATTGTCTTGCAAACACCTATACCTTGGGACAGATCATCAGGGTGACTCACCTCCCTGGGGTCTGCTATACACCCTTAAAAACCCTCCTACCCTTTCCCTTGCTGTTGTAGTCTGCTCAGATTCAGCCCACCTGATGGCAGTTTCCCCCCTCAAATAAAAGCCCTTAATCGGACCTTTTTGGCTCCCAGTCTTTTCTTAGCCACCTTGGTTACCAAACAGTACTGATTTGATGGCAGGACATCCTCAGAAAGTGCTGAAGTGGACAGAGAGAGATAATAGGGTCATGAGAGAAAATCATTGTATATATATTTCCATGAGCCAGACCAAGCAAGAAAGCATGGCTATTAGAACAGATGGTCTGAGGTTTGAGCCTGTTTCTGTCCATCTCCCAACATATGTCCAAATATGCCTGTTTCTTCCAAGCACCCATGGTCTCCTGGAAAGAAATGTCTTTAGCAGAAAGAAAAACATGTCACAAAAACCTGACACCTGCTGGATTGGGAGTAAAAAGGAGAAAACTGTGTTTGAACGATGATTAAAATAAAATAAAAAATAAATAAATAAATAAAAATTGAAAAAAAAAAAACCCTGACACCTTTAAGAAAACAGGTTAGGAGACACAAAAGCTGATTCCCTGCTACCTGAAGAGGAATGTGAACTTAAAAGTGGTGATCTACAGAAGATGGGAAACGGTGTGAGCAGCACTCGTATTCAATAAAGTGGCAGCAGTCAACAGAGCAGAAGGACGGCAATACTAGCTGGAACCAGAGCAAGGGAATACAGAATGGTAGGCAGCACTGTGATTGTACAATAGAACAATCCCCATCTCCATCCTCTGGCAACTCCTAATGGAAACAGGGAGGGAGGTTGTATTATCTTGGGTTATTTAACTTCTCTGACAAGGAAAATGAGGGTGATAATAAGAGTAACTGCTGTTTAGGTTTGTTGTGAGGATTGCATCATATGATGAGCACTGAAGATAAACAAATATATTAGTCATTACATAGATAAAAATGTTAATTCATTCATTTTAAAGTAAATCATTTACAAGCCACTCCAATACCAGTCTTATTGTTCTGAGAATGTACCAGGTACACTCGTGCCTTTTTATCTTTGAACATGCTGTTCTCTTGGCCTGGAATGATCTTTCTGTAGACAGCTCCATACAGTCATTTACTCAAATATCACCTCAATAAGGACTCTCCTGGCCATCCTGGAACATCTTACTCCCCTATCCTGTTTAGTTTTTCTTTGTAGCACTTAGTATTATCTAATACACTAGATATTTATTTTCTGCTTCTCTTCATTAGAATATAAGTTCTATAGTATAAAGATTTTTCTGTGTTTCATTCACTACATCCTAAGTGCCTGTAAGAATGTCTGGCACAGAGTAGATACTCAAATATTTGTCAAATACATGAAAGATGTTCACCATCCAGAACATCTCATTTCAGTCACAAGGCACGTAGGAAGTCTCTGAGCAAAAAGATATCTTTTGCTACTATCAGTAGGTTTCAAAAAGTACCTGGATGTTGGGAACTGCCCTGCCTGGTGGCAGAAGCTGTAACCCCCACCTAGGCTAAGGCTAAGGGAATGCCCTTGGAACCGTAAGCCAGCAAGGAGACAAGCTTATCTCCCTGACAGGAGCGCCGCTTCTGCTCTTTCATACCTCACCCTGCCTGGACCCCAATGTTTGGTTGGTTAGCCAATGACGGGTAAGATTCCCCAGGGGGGGAACGACTTAAGACAGGCACGATCACTTGGGAGGCCCCCAAAAGAAGGACTTTGGAGGGTACGGCAAAAGGGGGTGATGGACTCTCGCCCTTTGGCTTTGACAGAGCCCGAGTCCTCCTGCTCTGCAAGAAAATCTCTTAATCTCTTGGCTGCCTTACTTCTCTTGCTCCACCTAAGCCTGAAACAATGACAGGGTGGTGCTGCCCTGTGCTGGAAAGGGCAGATTCCCCAGGTGATCAGGCCTAAGAAAGAACATGTAAATTCCTGTGAAACCTTCTTTGTTTAGAATGCTCTCAGTTGAATGAGAAGGGTCCAAGGAGGAAGTTAGTTTGTTCCTTAAAGTCTTACAGCTCTTTGACCCTGACTCAAAATAGACCCTCAGAGTTCCTTGTTACCTATCATTTGATCCTTACTTCCTCGCAATGAGTTATGTGCTTTACCTGAATTCTTATGCAAAATGAACCCAACAAAAGCCGGTTTGGACGGTAAATCGGCAAGCTCCCCACTAGAGGGGGTGGCCATTCCGTCCCTACTTCTTCACAGAAACTGCTCTGTCTCTGTGCATATTTTTTCCTCGAGTTTTGATGAGCCATCCGCAGCGTTCCGTGATCACTGCTGGCCGGTGACCCATGCATCACCTGGAGCCTCTGCTAGCACCTTGAAATAATTTAATCCCTTCATTCATTGTCTCGAACACCGGCCCGCAGTTTCCGTGGAGTTTTCAATGAGACAAGATACATTCACACAGACTACCGAGTCCTGTGGAGGAAAAGGGACAGTACGGCTACTCTCTCAATGGAAGAAAGCCCCAACCCTTCCCTTGAAAGGTTTTTATTGGTTTTCAATTTTCACAGGAATACAGTTAAAGCTCATTAATCATTGTTAGGCAGTAAGGATCAAACAATGGATAGCATACAAAGAACTATGAGGGCTTATTCTGAGTCAGGGTCTGTTAGCTAAAAGGCCATAAAACTCACTTCCTGCTTTGACCCTTATCATTTAGTTGAGAGCATTCTTAGCAAAGTAGGTTTCACAGGATTTTATGTATTCTTTCTTAGGCTTGATCGACCTAGGGAACCTGCCCTTTCCAGCACAGGACTGCACTGCCATCTGTCGTTGTTTCAGGCTTAAGTCAGGCAGAGGAAGTTAGGCAGACAAGAAATTAGGAGATTTCTTGCAGACAGAATGAGGACTCAGGCTATGTCAAAGCCAAGGGCGAGGGTCCATCACCCCCTTTTGCTGTAGCCCCCCAAGTCCTTCCCTGGGGCCATGTGATCTTGCCTGTCTTGGGTCATCCCTCCCTTGGGGAATCTCATCGTCATTGGCTAACCAATCAAGCACTGGGGGCCAAGCAGGGTGACGTAAAAGGAGCAGAAGCTGCACTCCTGCCAGGGAGATAAGCTTTGTCTGCTTACTGGCTTATGGTCCAAGAATCACTCACTCAGCCTTAGCCGCGGGGGGGGGGGGGGGGCGCGGGGGGGCGGGTTACAGCTTCTGAAAACAGGCAGGGCGGTTCCTAACAATTCATTCGTTACAGTTGTTCATTTACTAATTCATTATTCATATTTATGAAGCCCCTATTATGTGCCAGATATTAGCCTAGTACTGGGGCTCTGGCAATGAACTTTCATGGAGCTTACAGTCTACAATAGTTGGGACAGGGATGGGGTTGGGGGTGGAGAGAGAACAAAAGAACTGTTTCTTTTCCTTGTCGTTGTACCATATTAAGAATTACTAAATTTATCTGCCCTTCTGGGTTATCTATCCTCTTTCATTTTCTTATCCTTACACTCCCTGGTGTTGTCTCCCCTGGATCTAGTACTCGAAGTATTGAAACTCTTACTTTTTACTTGCTACAGGGAATCATCAATTACCACATTTGGTCAAGATGCAAATACAAAAAAAATCAGCTCTGAACCCCTGAGCTGATGATATGTATTGGCATTGTGCAGACAACTTCTAGGAAATGGTACAGGAAAGAAGTTTCTCACTGAATAGTTTCACTTCTCTTTGTTTGAAGGGTGCAAGCTTTAGACATAAGGAAAAGAACTTTACTTTTTGTAGATACTCATTCATTAAATATTTACAAACGACTTCTTCATGACCAGCACATGATGCCCTATAAAGATACAAGTAAATGAAAGATATAGATTCTATTCTCTAGCTGATGGCACTTCCATTAAGGAGACCAGGCCAAAGGGGGAAAAAAGTAAGTTTTATAAAACCATAAAGAAAAGTGTTTCTACTTCATCTGAGTCCCCTCTCCCCACTTCCCACCCCCCACTCTCAAGCTGTTTTGGTTTCTCTTGCTTCCCTGACCACATTGGATCCTATGGCATAATCAATCGTGCTCTTGTCTGTACCCTAGGTTCCTCTACCCCTTGATTTTCCCCCATTTGCACCTTTTCTGTTACTTAGTTCAGGATTTTCACTTCTCTTGATGCCAGGTTGCAGAGCTGCTTGTGAAAATCAAGTTACTTAGTGTTCTAGAACTTCCAGGAGGTTGCAACTTAATATTTGCAGGCATTCCGGGTATAGGGCCTGGGAAGTGAGGAAAGAAATTTTACCGCTATTGTGAATAGCAGTAAATTTTACTGCTATTTTACTACCAGATTTGTGAAAGAATTGGGGTATTTAAACCAGTCCTGAGACTGAAAGTTACCAGAAAAGCAAATTACACTAAGAACAGAAACTCTAAATTCATATTGTAAGTCATTGCAGAAAAAAAAATGGGAGAGGCCCACACATATTTGAAAGACATCTGTGCAAAAAAATAAGTTTGGCTGGATAGAACAGTCACAACCGTAGTTTCATTCTGAGGATTTTATTTCAAGGTAGGAGAAAGTCTAGCGGCTGGCATTTCCCTAATTACGTATGCCTGAAGCAGTCATCGAGATAATTCTGCATGTGTCGCAAAGGAAAATATACCATAAAACGGAGTTAAACATAACAAGCAAAATTTTCTTCAGGTTTCTGTGCACTCAAGATCACAAAGACGCGTTGTCTTAACAAATCTCGCGATATTTTCGTCGTCCTCCGTGGCGGGAATATTGCGGAAGTGACGGCCCTCTGTGCGTCACGTCACTCGTCGCAAGTGTGTCGCATCCCAGAATCCTTGGAGGAGGAGTGCGTTCTCGCGGTGTGCTCGTAGTTTAGTGTGGAACATTTACGCAACTTGGTCGTGTTCTTTGCAGGGAAGCGTGCGCGTTTGTGCTTGGCCAGCCGCGGCCTCGCGCCGCAAACCTGGTCTTTTTCTATTGGGGAAAGAGCTCAAGGCGGGCTGCGCAGCGCTCCTACCCTGCTTAACCATGTTGGTGCTGTTTGAAACGTCCGTGGGCTACGCCATCTTTAAGGTAGGTGGAATATTGAGCCGTTGGAGGGGGAAGGCGGGTGTTGGGCAGGCGAAGAAACGGAGAGACTTGAAGAGAGGGTGGCACTGTTGGGGGTAGCACGGGTACCTTTTCATGTTCCCTTGTTCCAAAAGGAAGAGGAAGGCTTTGGGCCTCGGAGGCGCACGTGTCGGCGAACACGTGGCCTTGCCTTTTGGGATGCTGGGTTCTGGGTTGGAGGATTTGGCGCAATTAGAGGTGGACAGAAGCCGTATTGGGATTTTACAAGTTATGAAGGGATTTTATTCTGAGTATTTTGAAGGATGACTTCAAGGTTTTAAGGAGAGGAATGATGTACTTTGTGTTTTAATGATTACAAGGGACAGGAAAAGAAGCAAGGATTTTTTCTTTTTGCGTTAATCTAGACAAGATGAATATACTTTAAGGTTGATGTGAAGGTAAAACATCGGTAAAGTTTTAAAGGTGGAACTGACAGGATTGGCTGATGGGTTGAATGTGGGGTTTTGGTTTCATAAGTGGGTGAGTGATGATAAGGAAGAGAAGAGAAACAGGTTGTTGGGTTTTTGAACGGGGGAAACTAAAGAGTTAACAGGTTGGCCCTGTGAACCTTGCAGTATCTATTACACGTGGAAATGCAGTAGTCATTTAAAATTTGAAGCCTAGGGGAGAAATCTGGGCTAGTGGTAATCGAGTTGAGATCAGGTTGGTTTAATAGGGAAAGTTTGAAGTTAAGACTTACAGAAATGATTGAACAGTGTGACATTCATATAGTGGGATGCTTCTGAGATGTTAGGAAGAAGGAGGTAAATTGAGTGCCGCCGGCATGCCAGGCACTGTTCTGAGTTCTAGGAATACAGCAATAAAAAGCAAATTTTCGCACATGCTGATATAAGGCCCCCCCAAAAGTTAGGTAAGATGTATAGTGTGATTCTAGTTGTAAGTCAAAAAACTGTATGTGATATGGGTGTAGAAAGTCTGAAAGGACACATACCGAAGTATTGATTTGGGAGAGATCTTCACTGTCCAAGTTTCTCTCTTTTTTTTTATGCTTTTCATAATTTTTAAAGGTTTTATTTATTTATTTTTAGAGAGAGGGAAAGAGAGGGAGAGAAACATCAGTGTGTGGTTGCCTTTCACGCACCCACAACTGGGGACCTGGCCCGCAACCCAAGCATGTGCCCTGCCTGGGAATTGAACCTGCGACCCTTTCGTTCCCAGTCCGGGCTCTCGGTCCACTGAGCTACACCAGCCAGGGCCCAAATTTCTCTTCTGATATTTGAAAGTATACTTCTGTTTGCACTTACTACATTAAATACATGTTATTTTTAAGAAAATCAATAAAACAGCAATTAAAAACCAAAAGCTGCCTTTGCTCATTTTTTCTCATTGGAGTTGTCTGTAATTGCAGCATTACTCACTTTTGATTTAAGTGAAACTTTAACAATGTTTTGAAGGCAAATTGGTAACATCTGTCAACATAAAATATGCATATCCTATGTGATCAATTAAGTCCACTTCCAGTAGTTTGTTATATAGAAGTGCAACACGTGTGCATACAAAAAAGTGTTTTCTGAAGGATAAGGAAAATTTGGAAATAACCTATTTATCAAGAAAAACATAAATGATGATGTATTGATACACCAAAATTCTAGGTTGTCAAAACCTGGAATTATGGTACATCCATAATATGCTAAGTATGCAGTAGGATTACTAAAATTATACCAAATAAAATGTCACAATTAAAAAGTCTTGAAGAATATATCGCTAAATGTTAATGACTTTTGTAGATTTAAAGTACCCCTTTTTTCCTTTGCATTTTAAATTACCTTACGTCAGGATGTGACTTGGAATTGATGGTGTCTTAGTTTTAGAGAAATCAGTACTTTCTTGTTAGGTTGATTATAGCAGTAAATAACAATTTATTCTATAGAAAGTAGTTAATTGATCATACAGGATATGCATACTTCATGTTGACAGATGCTACCAAATTGCCTTCAAGAGAGTCTCTTAATCTTAATTAAATCAAGAGTGAATAAAAGTTATTTCTGTATACCTTCACCAATACTCTGTGATAAGTCAACTGCTCAAGTACAAGATAGGAAAGGATCAATCCTAATATGCATTTTTCCCCATGTTTAGCATCCCTGAAATTGGGATGTCTTACAAATTGATGGTAGATTACTTTAATTGACAGTATAAAATAATGGCATATATAATGTATTCTAAAGAAAGTCTGAATATAATGCCTTTTGGAGGGGTTAAGGGGTCCTTAAAATAGAAAGTTTTCAGTAATGATACCCCCCACATACACAGAAAATAATAAGATCTGAATTCCATCTAGTTATTAAATGTGCTATTTGAGCTACTAATTTGACTTAAAATTTATGCTTGTGAAACAACTGGTTCATTGTTTCAGAGAGAAAAATAGCTTCCACTACCCTCATTTTACATGTACAGTTGTCCTTGAAGAGTGTAAACCATATATGCTTGTCTAGGCTGTGCTGTTTAAAGAAAATTATTCAACTATTACTATTTATTACAGGTTTTGAATGAGAAGAAACTTCAAGAGGTTGATAGTTTGTGGAAAGAATTTGAAACTCCAGAAAAAGCAAATAAAATGTAAGTCATCTTTAAAACTAAGAATTTAGCAGTTCACATTTAGGTGTTCTTACATTTCTTCCCACTCCCCTTCATATGTGTTACATTCATAACACTTTTTTTAATCCTCATCCAAGGAAATGTTTACTGATTTAGAGAGAGAAACATCAATTTGTTGCCTCCTGTTGTGCCCTAACTGAGGGATTGAGTCCACAATCTAGGTGTGTGCCCTGATTGGGAATCAAACCTGCAGTCTTTTGGTGTATAGGATGATGTTCCAGCTAACTGAGCCACCTGGCCAGGGCTATATTTATAACTTTTGTTTGAAAATGTATTTCTGTAATAATGTTAGAATTAGTCTAATCATTAGATTTCCTTATTTGGAGCATAGGTCATCAGTATTAATTGGTATTAGTTGCAGACTAGATTGAGCAGCAACACAAAATTACTGTTTCGTAAGATAATTTGAAAACAGGTAGATAAAGAGCTTCCCAGACAAAAAAAGAACCCTAAAGGGTAACAAATAACAAACAGTTATTATATGAAATATTAAAGGGATTTATTTAAAAGAAAAAGATCAAAACTATGAACAATGAAATGGCAATAAGTACATATTTATCAACAACTGAATTTAAAAAACAAACCAAGCAAGAACAGATAGAATTGTGAATATGAAGAGTGATGGTTGCCAGATGGGGATGTGTGGGGAATGGGTAAAGAGGTAAGGGGATTTAGAAACTCAAATAGGTAGGTACAGAATAGCCAGGGGTATGTAAAGTACAGTATAGGAGATGGAGTAGCCAAAAAACTTATATGCATGACCCATGGATATGAACAATGGTGGGGGATTGCTGGGTGGAGGGGGGCAAAGGGAAAAAAATGAGGATAGCTGTAATGTCATGATCAGTAAAATGTAAGTATAAAAAATAAACTTAACAAAAATTAAAAAAAGAAAAATTGATTGTAAGTATAAATTTCTATTAAAAGTAATACTTGTCAAAAGTATAGACTACTGATTGATTTAACTTTTAGTTTCTCTTAAGTTAGTGGTATTCAAATGTTTTTTAATGTAATTTATAGTTTTATTTATTCTTTATGACTTCTACTTCCTAGCTCCCTCTGGAATAATAAGTAGCTAGTAAATCCTGGAAAAAGGAATACCTCAGTTTCCCAAGTTCTCTGAAGTAGAAAATAGAGTATAACGTTGATGCCCAGCTTAAGAAATGAGTGGTAGGAGAGTGAGCTGGCTTTTCAGAGTAGTCTGGGCAGCTATTTCACCAGCTGTGGATCACCTTTCGAAATAGCCCGTTTGGTGAATGTGATCCTAGCAAGGACTTAACTGATCTCTTGACATATGTGGATTTGAATTATGTATGTCCTTGGGTGCTATGGGGCATTTAATAATTCTTCTGCTAGTGCTAAGAAAAACTTACAAGAATAGAAGGAAACTATTAAAGCTTGCTGAAGAGTAATGAACTCCAAGAAATGTCATACTAAATAGTTAGAGAAACAAAATACATAGTTTGAACATTCATGGTAAAAACCCAAAATTTGGAATAAATGTCCATCAGTAGTGTAATTGTTAAACAAATTTTAGTATGTCTAGATCTCTTACAGATCTGGAAGGAGGTTCGTGATATACTGAGAAAATCGTGCTTCAGATTTTGTATAATGTCTTCCCATTTTCGCCATGTTCTTGTGCATCCTGCAGTTATGCGCATACAAAGAGATATGGACAAATGACACTTCAGAAGGGTGCAAGTAGGGGGTGTGGGGAGGCAGAAGAGAGGAAATTATTATTTTTTTTTCCTTAAATCTTTGTGTTGTTGAGTGTGTAAGGGACCACCAGGATATTCTCTGACCAGGTAAGAAAACCTTGATTAAGATCATACTGTTTTAGACACGATGGCAGGCTAGTTTTCTCTTTTTAAAGGGATGTATGCTTTAATTGACTGGGTTAACTTGATTCATTGTTGTCAATGATGTATTCTTGTTTGGACTGAATCTAAGTGATCTCACTCAAGTATTCGTCACTACCACTGAGACAACAATGAATTAAATGTATGTATTTCCATATAAAATTATGTTACTCTGCACATAAGTGTATGGGGAAGAAGAGGGTAAAATAAGAGTAATAGGAATCTAACCTGAGAATAAACTTGCTTCATGGCATTTTTACTGGATGGACAAATCAGTGCCATGAGATTGCTGACCTAAGACAGACACTTAGACCTTTTCTTAGGCCACTTGTATGCTTTATAGTAAAAGGCATCTGTGTCTAGCTTTAAGTAGCAGAGATTATATTGAAGCTTCTGCATATTTCCTGTGGTTTAGATTCATAGAACAAACCTTTTGGCTGTTCTATGTTACCTCCAAAGCCTACAGCTTTCTCTATAATAGCCCAAACATTGCTAGTGTACATTTAGAGAACTGGTCCTTTTGTGAAGAATATCTAACTTTGTACCCTGATATCCATTGATAGGAAAATTTCTTCTATTAGTGTATGCTTTGGAAACAATCTGACACTCATTTTCTAAGTATATGGCTTTTGCAGAAATCAGTGTGCCTCCATAACATTTTTTTCTTTCTTAATTCTAGAGTTAAGCTAAAACATTTTGAGAAATTTCAGGATACAGCAGAAGCATTGGCAGGTAAAGTCAAAGAGTAGCTTTTTTGTTTTTGTTTTTGTTTTTAATCTTGACAGTTTGTCGTCCTTATTTAAAAAGTTGTTTGCTTCACTTGCCTAAGTTAACCTTACTCAATGTTGTCAATGATGCATTGTTTTTTGGAATTGAATTTAAGTGATCTAACAAATTCATCACTACCACTGAGACAACATTGAGTTAGCTTTTTTCACCATAGGGCTGGTTCCCCCCCCCCATGTGAAGAGAGCTGAGAAGTGGTTAAATTGATCTCCCTGTGGAAACCAACAGCATAATGCTAAAGCACAATTCAGTAAAAGCTGTTCTACAAGGGACCCAGGTAATGTGATCAAGCACAGAGCTCAGATCATTTTAATACAAGGAAAAAGTTGAGAATAGCCAGGGATCACTGTTGAAGAAATAATAAAACAGTTCTCTAGGGATATACATTTTTAGTTTGAAAAAGCACATTATTAAAAGTTTTAGGGCCATGACTGGTGTGGCTCAGTGGGATGGGCATCATCCTGCAAACAGAAATGTCCCCAGTTGTGGGCTATATCCCTGGGTGCAGGTGTGTGGCAGGCAACTGATCAATATTTCTCTCCCTCCCTTCTCATCTCTCTAGCATAAATAAATAAACTTAAAAAATGAAAGTTTTAGGAAAACTAGTACTTCTAGGTTTGTGTGCATTTTAATATGAAAACTAAGGCATGAGAGTTATCTAAGAAGGGTGCGGTTTCACATGATTTAGAAGAATGGATGACTAATCCTTCAATTAGCCCTCATGATAGGACAGCAGACATACAGTAATAGGGTTTATTAATTTGGCTTGGCTTCAATAGTTTTTTTTGTTTGTTTTTTTAATCTTTATTGAAGGATGTGTTTATTGATTTTTAGACAGTGCAGAGGGAGGGAGGGAGGGTGGGGAATGAGAGAGATGAGAGAAAAATATCGATTGGTTGTTTTCTGTATGTGCCCTGACCAGGAATCAAACCCACAGCTTTTTGGCTTATGGGACACTGCTCCAACCAACTGAACCACCTGGCCAGAGCTTTTGAGGGATTTTGGTGTCTGCGTGTGTGTTAAATGTACTTTGAGAGAGGGAAGCATCAGTGTGTGGTTGCCTCCCGCATGCCCCCTACTGGGGACCTGGTCCAACCCAGGCATGTGCCCTAACTGGGAATCGAACTGGCGACCCTTTGGTTCACAAGCCAGAACTGAATCCACTGAGCTATACCAGCCAGGGCTTTTTTTAAAGATTTTTTAATATTAGGAAAAGAAGACCAGTTATAAAACCCTAGTCATAAATTTTTCAGTTGCTTAAATTCTCAAGTCAGCCAACTACTCGGTGATAGAATTTGAAAATGAAGAGCCATAAGGAAGAATATGGCTTAAAATTAGGCATTATTTGATAGACCCAAATAATTTTGTTCATTAGCCACAAGAGAAGGGTGTAGTTCTCTTGTGAAAATTAGGAATCCAACTAAATATGCTGGATATTAATGGGCCATCCCAATCTTGGCAGTAGGGTATGCCAAAGGAAGACCCAACAATGGGGCCGATTTTATTGTTCATTTTCCCGGTACCACTTAGTTCCCTTATAACTCCATCTGTCTTGTCCCCCTCCCCTACCCAGCAGTCAATTTTTAAATTTTTAAAAATAGTTCTAGGGCTGCTGTTTTGGTAATAAAAGTTTCATAGCAATGTAAAGCATACCTGTGGTAATTTTTGCCTGGAGAGTTTCTTTAAAGATACTTCTGTTATCACAGCTTTAAAATTAAATATGGGTAGAATTTTGGTAAAATCCCAAGCAAGGTTGTGTTAGCTATTCCCAGTTTGGCGGGAGTGCATTATTCACATTGACTGATATGTACAGCACCTTCTACAGTTTGTAAAGTATTCTAGTCCTGATCCCAAGTAGCCTGTTCAGCATTTCTTTTTGTGTATAAACTTCTTTAATCTTTTCAGGATATTTCTGACCAGTCCTTATTAAACTATTAAGTGGAGAAGTCTAACCTCTCCCTAAACATGAAGCAAGTTTTTGCTATAGCTAATAAGATGATTATATAGCGATTGTCAAAATTTGTGTTTATTGTTTCAAAATCTTAAAACAATCCTGTGAGGTAGGTAATATTACTATTTTACATATAAAACTGAGACGAGAAAAGGTATCACATTGCCCTACTAAGTGTATAATGTTATAAAATAGGTAGGGGAAATGCCATACTAGGTGAGAACCCTCTGACCCTTCCTAATCTAAGTTCCATGAGTGTAGACTATGTTGTTTACTGTCAACCCCCTAGATTTTGGCACATAAATATTTTGGGGTGGATGAATGAAAGTAGAGCTCTGTCAGGAATCTGGTTGTAGAAACTTCTACAGTCAATGCCTTTTCCCATCTATTTTTATCAGAAATTTGAAAATTGGCTTCTTACTAAGAGAACAGAGTCCTTCCTGAGAATTCAACTTCCAACTGCCTATTACAAGACAGTTTTGTGTGACAGACCAGAATTCAGTGGTTGTAGATGTCAATATGGACTAAAAAAAAACCTGTAGCCTAAGAAAGAATCTGATGGGGTGCAATGTTGATTTTATATTGGTCCTAGAAGTTCAGATACTCCACCTGCATGAAGAAGTTCACTTTTACTATTGGTCAAATTTTCAAGATGCAAGTCTTCTGAATAGTCACAGTAAACTTTGGGCCAGTGCACGTTCCCATGAAGTGAGAAAACTGCTACGGGATGAGGAACAGTGGCCAGTAGGAAAGAGAAGTAGAAGAAAGACTCAGCTTCCCTTCTCTGTCACCATCTATATATCACTTTTTAAAAGTACATGTTATAGACAGTAGTGAACACACTTTTTGATAAAGGGAAGATAAATGTAAATGTTACAGTAGATCTAGAGTAGAAAGTTTACTTTTTAAAAATTGTATTTTTAGATGGGGGAAGAGAGGGAGAGAAATTGATCAGTTGCTTCTCCTTCACACCCCATCAGAGACCAAACCACTACCCAGGCATGAGCCCTGACGGGATGGAATGGGACAACAGATGATGCTCAGCCAACTTACCACACTGGTCATGGCAAAAGTTTTACTTGAAAGAAATTGTAAAGTGCAAATGTAGATATGGAAAATTGAGAACTAGGAGCAGGAATTTCAGTAAAAGTTCTTAGTTATGAAAGATAAATTTTTAAGGAAAGAATACAACTCAATTAGAAAGGAAGGTAATTGAGGAGTCAATGTTGTACAAAATGTAAAAGGCTAGATCTCGACAAAAATAAATGGAATCTTATTTTCTTAGAATGTAGAGAACTCTGAAAGAGCTGTGTGGTAGCCAGATGTTATCTTCATCTTTAGTTTTCCCAGATAACAGATGAAATTGACTTGTAATTCAATTTCTACAAGAGAGATGGTCAGGAGGGGAAGAGCCAGGTACCTGGCTGACTGAATACTTGGCCTTAGACATTATGACACACTTCCTTTCTGACAGGCTTACTTGAAATCCAGCTACAATCCAGACAAATAACAGGAGAGGTGTTCATGTGGGTCCAGAAGAAGAAAGCATAGGTGTAAGGAAGGGTGAGAGTTATAGAAGTTGCAGGTTTAGAGGTTAACCTAAAATGAAAGCTGTCCTAAAATTGAACAGGCTGCCTTCGTAGTAAGTTCTCCATCATTGAAGGTTTATAAGCATTGGCCTGATGACACCTATGGATTGGGTATTAGAAAAGGTTAGATCCCACTCAAATATACTTAATAGCAACAGAACCTTCAAAATGAATACTTTTTTTTTTTTTTTTTTTTTTTTTTTAAACCAGAGTGTCTTGACAACATTTTAGGGTATTTCACAATCCAGAGCATCAGGCCAATCTGTCATAATATAGAATAGAGAATCTATTTGTCATTCCAAAGTACAATGTTTCTGACATGATTCTGAGTCTGAGTTCAAAAGAAGATTCATGTGGTATAGGCAAAGGAAGGCTGGATCTGGTGTAACTCCTGGTCCTGGAGTAGAAATGAGAGAGGCAAGATCAGATGATATTGTGAAATGTGTAACTTGTAAATATTTTTATGTCTATCATTTCATTTTAAAAGTAATGTTAAATTTAGCCCTTTTGAACGGGAGTATTTATTTTGCCTTTTTTTTTAACTTGAATAAGATATTAAGCTCTTAAAATTAAAAAATTGAGAGAGAGCTCTTGTTTTTCTTTTTCCTGAAAAGCATTCACAGCCCTGATGGAGGGCAAAATCAACAAGCAACTGAAGAAAGTTCTGAAGAAAATAGTTAAAGAAGCCCATGAACCCTTGGCTGTAGCTGATGCCAAACTAGGAGGGGTCATAAAGGTAAAGTTATGATTTTCTTTCATGCTTGCTGATCAGAACTCACCATAAGCATAGTGACTACAAAGCCCAGTCTTTGCAGTGAGTTGTTTGTCATGAGTTCTCATACTTTACCTTTTTTCCCTGGGCTACATAATAATTATTTTCAATATGATTATCAAGACTAAACATATACATTCATTGTAGAAAATACAAATACACCGCCCTACCTGGGTAGCTCAGTTGGTTACAGCATCATTCCAATATTCCAAGGTTGTTGCTTCAATCCCTGGTCAGGGCACATACAAGAATTGACCAGTGAACACATAAATCAGTGTAAAAACAAATCAGTGTTTCTCTCTCTCCCTCTCTCTCATTAATACATTTTTTTAAAAAGTAAAAGAAAGTACAAATATACCAAAAATTGATTCTAAAAAAATAGTTTTAACCCTACCACCCAGAGATAGTCTGTTAATACTTTGTGTATATCCTGCCATACTTTGATTTAGCTATTTCCCACCCCCGCAACATTAATGGAGTCATGACATTTCTTTCTTAGTATATGTGTTTGTAGAAAAGCACTAAAGAGGTTTGAGGGTTTTTTAAGCTAGGATTCTGAATTTAAGAGGTTTGTGTTAACATTATTTCTAATACAGTCAAGTCATAAAGTTTTCTGTGATGGTATTTTCATTTTCATCCTTTGAAGTGCCCCTAAGTCTTAGTTTATATTTACTGTTAAATGTTAACTTTCAGAATAATAAATATATACCCACAAAGGCATGCAAAATGATAGATCGTTGAATAAAGGGATTGTGGGCATCTTTAATATTTTCAGTTTATCCATTTAAAAATACAAACTATTACTCATACGTTCTAAATATTTTGTTTCTTAAACATGATGTAATATATGAAATTTTGTATATTTGTATTTGATGGGCTAGAACTGTAGATTTGTATGAAGGAGAAGCAAATACACTATAATGTGACAAAATGAAGGTATGGAGAAAAAATTTATCCTGTCCATGTGGGGTGTGTAAAACCTTAAACTGTATTATGAAAATGTGTATATGTGTGTACACATACATATTAACACATGTATGTTTGGAGATCAGGCAAGTTCAGGGTGGTATGGCCTAAAATGCTGGTGTCGATTAACATTTGCACATATTTGGAAGTACTTAAGGGATGCTTACAGTTACTTATCTGTAGGGGAAAGGCCTAAGACTCAGAATTTTGCTTTCTATTCAGTGCTCTTCTCTATAATACTGTTTATTAAACTCTTCTGTGTGTTTTACCTTTAATTTTTAAAAGAAGTTAAATAATGTAAGTAAAAGATTTCTCAAACCAACAAAAAGAACAAAACTAAGTTAAACTGTATTTATTGTTTTACAGCTTATATTTATTTAATACAAATGTTCTTGTTTTCATAGGAAAAGCTGAATCTCAGTTGCATCCATAGTCCTGTTGTCAATGAACTCATGAGAGGAATTCGTTCACAGATGGATGGATTAATCCCTGGGGTAGAACCACGTGAAATGACAGCTATGTGTCTTGGATTGGCCCACAGGTGAGATTTACTGGAAAATAAAGTTGGCTTTCATTTAATAAACAATTGTGTAGTAGTGTTACAAGCATGTTACACATACTAATTTAATTCTCATAACAATCAGTAGTAGTACCCTCATTTAACAGATGAAATGGATGCCCGAGATCAATGCAGCTGGTACGTGAGGAGGCCAGGATTTGAACCCAAGCATTCTGGCTTCATTGCTTGGACTCTAAACCTCACTGTAGGCATTCTCCACCCCCTCTGGTGTTGGATCCCACAACTTTCAGGGGGCTCGTTCGTGCGCACGCTCTCTCTCGCTCTCCCTCTCTCTCCTCTCCCTCTCTCCCCCCCTCTCTCCCCCCCTTATGTCTGCTACATCATTTCCTACTCTGTTGTCCACTTAATTTTCTCATCTGCTGTGATCTCCTTTTTGTGTATGTGTCTGTCTGTGTTGCTTGTTTTACTCTGAGTTTTATTATTATAATAAGGCTAAGAAAAGTACATTAACCTATCATTTAACCAGAAGTCCATTAGTGCTGTACTGTAATATATGTGTTCCTGAAAAGCTTGACATTCTGTGAAGTTGCATTGAAATGACAGGGTTTGTGAAGAAACAGTGAGATTAAGGGTAGACTACTCAAAACTTAGCAACTCTGTGAGCAGAGCACTATCAGAAGCAATGGCTCTGAAAAACATTAACACAGAGAAAAAAGGCATAATATAGTAAACAAAGGTCTGTACCTTCGAATAGAAAATACTGAACATAGATTGATGGAGGGTTAAAGCTCTGCTTAGTTACAGAGATAGGCAGGAAGAACTTTGTAATAAGCATTTCTAAGAGCACAAAAAACTAAACTGGGCCGATTCAAGTTTGGGATTAAATTGGCATTGATTACACCAGTGTGAACATATTCCTTAGAAGACATTTGGCAATGTGTAGAGACATGTTTGGTGGTTAGAACTTCAAGTGGGATTTGTCATTAACATAATGAATGGGTAGAGGCCAGGTATATTGCTAAACATCCTACAATGCACAGAATGCCACCCCTGTCCCCCAACAAAGACTATGGGGCTTATGATGTTAATAGTGCCAAGATTAAGAAAGCCTTATGTACAGTATTATTCCTCCATGGCTTTCTGTTTTTAGGTGTTGGAGTGCTGCATTTTTTCCCTATCTGCTGATTAGAGCATTAATATGCTGCAAAAGTAATTTATTAATCACTATGACCGGCACTACACAGCATTATCCGAGATGTCATTCATAAGTTAGTATTTCAGAACTATAGGTTACAGCAGGACAGATGTATTATTTTTTTATTAAATGTGTACTTTCTGATGCTGCAGCTGATTTTCCCATGTTGAAAAATTAAAAAATGGTATAGCTCTGAGGGAGGGAGGGATTTTAAAAACTTTTAAGATGTTAGTTAAATGCTTTTCATCAATGCTATTTAGCAATTTGTTATTTTCTTCCTTCTCCCCAGCTTGTCCCGTTACAGATTGAAATTTAGTGCTGACAAAGTGGACACAATGATTGTCCAGGCAATTTGTAAGTATAGTGCATATGAGATCTATTCTGTCTGTTCTGCATGGTGTTTTTCCTACTATTAAAACTGGATCTTTTATAATTCTCTAGAGAAAGCCAGGTTAACTAGAATTTTTCCAGACTTTTAAAATTTATTTTTAAAGAGAGGGGGAGGGAAGGAGAAAAGGGACCAAACCTGCAACCCAGGCATATTCCCTGACCGGGAATATAAACCACTAGCTTGGTGGGACAGCGCCCAACCAATAGAGCCATACCTGTCAAGGGGAATAACCAGAATTCTTAATAAGAAATTGATCCACATTAGAAAAAGGAAGAACTACCCATAATTTGGCTACTAGGAGATAATTGTGAATTACACCGTTAATGTAAACCAATTCATTTGTCTTTTTCCATGAAAAATTCTAAAACCATAGTGGGATCTGTATTGTGTTGTGTTTTGGTTTTTTTGGCCTGGCTTTATTAGTTTATTCTCCCGTATCATTAAATGAATTTTTGAAATGTCAGAGTCTTAATTCTCAATTTAAAAAATCCATTTAAACAGTGATTGCATTTCTGGGTATATACCCAAAAGAATTGAAAGCAGGTACTCAAACAAATTACAAGATACCCCTGTTTATAGCAGCATTATTTACAATAGCCACAAGGTAGAAGTAACCCACTGAGAGATGAATGGATAAACAAAATATGGTATATATGTATAATAAAATATTCTTTAAAAGGAATGACATTCTAATACATGCTACATACAACATGGATGAATTTTGAGAACATTATGCTAAGTGACATAAGTTACACACACAGACAAGGGCTGTGTGGTACCTAGAATAGGAAATTCATAGAGACGGTAGAAGAGATTACTAGGGCCTAGGGGAAAGTGTGGGTGGAGGGTTAATGAGTACAAAGTTTCAGTTTGGGATGAAGACAGTTCTGGCAATGGATAGTGGTGGTAATGGTTGTATAACATTGTGAATGTACTTGATGCCACTGAAATTTATACTTGAAAATCATTAAAGTGGTAGATTTTATAGATGTTTTGCTACAATTAAACCATTTAACTTCATGGGTTTTTTGTGTGTTTTTTTGTTTGTTTGTTTTTTCATTTTAATCTCCTGCAGCCTTGTTGGATGACTTAGATAAAGAACTAAACAACTACATTATGCGGTGTAGAGAATGGTATGGCTGGCATTTTCCCGAATTAGGAAAAATTATTTCAGATAACTTAACATACTGCAAGTGTTTGCAGAAAGTTGGTGAGTTAACTTTATGTCTTAAGACATTGAAAATTATTTGCATCCGAAAACATGAGTTACAATCTTTTTCCTTAACAAACTTCCCAGAGTTTTTAATAACTTATGTTTTAGGAGTGTAGCCATATTAATATCTCTTAGATTTTAAAAACAAAATTAACTTTAACTTTGATTTTGAGAGCCTGTACTACAGAATGTTGGTCTCTAATTCGGTTTTTCTTAAAATGGGTTTTTCTGGTGAATGTGTCTCATAATTTGCCATTAATAGGGACAATTGTAGGTGGGGGGGTATCCTGAAGCATATTAATAATTAACATTAATGGTAATATTGCTATCTGTAGCAATATGTTCTGTACTAATAAAATAGTAATATTAGAGGATGCGGGGTATTAATAAACGAGTTATACTACATTTTACAATATTACTCCAAGAATTCATGGTCCTAGCTTCAGTATAATCTTAACTACAAATTGTCACAATGTCATTAGTCCTATTGAATGGGGTATTTTGGGGGGTTTTTGATGGTGGTGGTTGGTTGCTTTCTCTTTTGAGGGAGATGATGGGGAGAGATTACAATCTCTAAAATCAAGCCTTTACACCGGGAAAATTACTAGGTCAAACTTGTTCGCTTTTTGTTTTGTTTAGGCACCCTTTTCATTGGTTTATCTCTACTTTTTCTTTTGACTTTGGTGGATTTTGTATAATTTGTTGAAGAGTGATTCTCCTTCATCCTCTGCAAACATTTCATAGGCGATAGGAAGAATTATGCCTCGGCTCAACTTGCTGAATTACTGCCAGAGGAAGTTGAAGCAGAAGTGAAAGCAGCTGCAGAGATATCTATGGGAACAGAGGTTTCAGAAGAAGATATTTGCAACATTCTGCATCTCTGCACTCAGGTAAACTATGCACATAGAGAAACTAGTTGTGATACCAGCACTGTAATAATAATTTTCTGATGGCAATGATGATTTTTAAACTTATTGTTCACCTGATGAAAAATGTGAGGGTGTTCAGTCACTACCTCATCTGATGCCATCTTGATTTATATACTTAGAGAAATGTATACTAAAATAAATTTAAGAGTACTAATATATTTGTATTGTTACATTGTCAGAATAAATTCATTAAGAAGGCAGAAGATAACTTGAGTTATTTAATTCTAACTTTTATGTTTATAGCCTGTAGTGACTTTTTCTTTCTCCTTTGGAGATAGCTGTATAAGAATCAGAGGGTGACACAAATGTCCTTGGAGGTTTTTAAAGTAATAGTAATATTGGCTAACATTTTTAGTAGTATACTAAGTTGTTTAAATACATTATCTACCAAAAAAATCTTCACAGCAGCCATTTTAAAGGAAACTGAGGTAAGGAGAGCTTAGTTTTCCCAGGATTGCACAGCTGCCCTAATGATAGGTGTAGAACTCCAGTGCTTTAGACATGTGAATTTTATCCTGTTTTTGCTCTTAATCATTTATTAGTTACTCATTTTTGTTCCTTATATTAGGTGATTGAAATCTCAGAATATAGAACCCAGCTCTATGAATACCTACAAAACCGAATGATGGCCATTGCACCCAATGTTACCGTCATGGTTGGGGAATTGGTTGGAGCACGACTTATTGCTCATGCAGGTGATGATTTTAATTAATTTGTAAACATGGGTATTTAGAATTTAGTGTTCTAACAAGGATTTGTTTTTAATCTTTAAATTACAGTTGTTAAAGAAATTTTAAATAATAGAAGTAGTAGGTAGTATATGGGCGAGGACTAAGGACCAGTGTTCAATGATGATTTTTATTTGTATGCCTGAATTCTTTTTGGATAATGAAGGCATCTTTAGTCACTACCTCTTCTGAGACACTTGTCCATTGTCAGAAGTTTGTTGTGGTTAAGTAGAATAGTCATATGAACGCAAGAAGATAAATTAGTTAATACTTCATAATATTACAGCGTCATCAACTGATATTTGCCAGGGGTTTAGGGGGTTGGGTGAAAAAGTTAAAGGAATTAAGAAGTACAAATTGGTAATTAAAGAATAGTCACAAGGATGTAAAAGTACAACACAGAATATAGTCAATACTATTGTAATAACTGCTAAGGTGCCAGGTGAGTACCTGAAATGTCGGGGTATCAAATGCATGACTGGCTAACCATAATGCTGTACACCTGAAACTAATATAAAATAATGGTTGAAGGTCAACTTTCATTGAAAAATTAAATTAAAAAAACTCACTGGATTAAAATTTGAATAGTTTTAAGAATTCACAATAGGTGGTGATGATACAGCTATGCACTGCTATGTGACAGGGATATGTTCTGAGGAATGTATCATTGTTAGGCCATTTCATCATTGTGTGGTCATCATGAAATGCACAAATCTATTTAGATAGTATAGCCTACTACAAACCTAGGCTATATGGCATACCATTGTCATATATGGAGTCCATCATTAACTGAAACATCATTGAGAATGTTTCACAATTGAATATGCTGTTTTATATTTTAATGTATTTGGCATAAAATATATTTTAAATGAGGGAGTTATATATAATAAAACTTTAATGCATGTGTATGGTGATATTATAAAGATGGATGCTACACAAATGGTATAATTGAATACTCGTGATACAGTGAGATACTAGTTCATTATTTTATATTACTGGCCATCACAGAAGATCTTAATGTGTCACCCATAGCAAAGTATTTAAATTAGAATAGACCCTTCGTTGATCACATACGTCATTCAGATATCCTCAGCTGCAAGAATGGTATCACTTAGGCTGTAGGTCTTGTGTTTGGTGTATGGAACTTTGAAATAATTAAAAATTGATTTCTTGTAACTACTTCTTTTATTTTGAAGGTTCTCTCTTGAATTTGGCCAAACATGCAGCTTCTACAGTTCAGATTCTTGGAGCGGAAAAGGCCCTTTTCAGAGCTCTGAAGTCTAGACGAGATACCCCTAAGTATGGTCTCATTTATCATGCTTCACTTGTAGGCCAGACAAGTCCCAAACACAAAGGAAAGGTAAGTTAGTTGTTCTGAGGTAGGCCTTTTTCTCTTTTTTCCCCTCCAAATAACCCATTTTCCTCTTACTCTATAGTATGCAATAAATCTATTTTTTTCTCATTGACTAGAGAACGGTGAATTCTTTAAGTAAAAAGCACTTTGTATACGGAAAGAAAAAGTTTAAAGAAAGTATATTGGACCTGTTAAAGCTATTTTCGTTCACTGTGTTAGTGTTTTCCTAGAGTTTACCTGTTGGTAAGGAAGGAGTGGGTGGCACATCAAAAGTCCTGACTGGTGTGGCTCAGTGGGTTGGGTGTCATCCCACAAACTGAAAGGTCACTATTTCAGTTGTTGGTCACAGCACAGGCCTGGGTTACAGGGTAGGGTCCCCCTCTGGGCGCATATGAGAGGCAACCGATGGGTGTTTCTTTCCGTCTCTTCATCTGTCCCTTTCTCTCTCTATGAAATTCAGAGCAGAGAGGAGAAAAAAAGGGTTTAATACAATAAAATCTTAATTAGCTTGAAAAGGGGACTACACTTTTTCTTGTTGATCTCATGGTGTAGAACTAATGTCCCTGGATAGAAACTAAAAGGGGGCTTTGGAAAAATAGTTTGTGCTCATTTTAGATGTGAACCACTAAAAGATCTTTTCATTTACTAAAATGACGGTGGTAATATATAACATGTTAGCCATTATATTGCGGCAAAGATTTCAGATATAAGATAGATGGCTTGAGTTGTATGATTCAGAATACTTTTGTAATTCCTGGTTTGAATAAAATCCTAGTGTGAATGTTTCTGACTTCAAGTTCTCTATTAGATTTCTCGAATGTTGGCAGCCAAAACTGTTTTGGCTATCCGGTATGATGCTTTTGGTGAAGATTCCAGTTCTGCAATGGGAGTTGAGAACAGAGCCAAATTAGAGGCCAGGTTGAGGGCCTTGGAAGATAGAGGGGTAAGAAATGCACCATGCCTATTGAAGTGTTACCTGTCGAAAATTAATCAACTATAAGTAGTTTATGTACTTACTCTACCTGCTAAACAGTTTTATAATATATTTTAATGTGTCTAATATATTTTTGTGCCCAGTGTTAACAGTTTTCCTTATATTTACCAATAATTGATATATATATTAGAGTATATACTGTAAAGGGATTATGCCTTAGAATATTAATGATTTTTCTTTTCTTAGATAAGGAAAATAAGTGGAACAGGAAAAGCATTAGCAAAAGCAGAAAAGTATGAACATAAAAGGTGAGTACATGGGGAGGATGGATGGACAGTTCCTGCTTATTTAAGTGTTAAATGTTTTGTATTGTAAACAGAAGCAATTCCTTCTGTTCCTTCCCCCTTTTTGCCATTTACCGTTTTTCCTATTTAGTTCTGGTTTTTAATCAAAAACACATATTTACACTGTAATCAGCGCATATATTTGTTTTGGCTTTTTTCTTAATATTTACCTTACTCATTTCCAAGTGTTGATAGTAAATATTTGTCATTCATAGTTCCTGTATAGTATGCCATGTATCAAAAAGAATATTCATTCAGAATTAATCTAGCCTAGTTTTTTAAGAGACAAAAGGCAAAAAGAAAAGTCTAAAAATAACTAAGAGGCATGGTAAAGTTTTTAGACCTCACCATAAAATTAACAAGAAGATATTTGTGGGAAGAGGTGTTTTGGTTATTATTTGAGGTGATGCTTAATACTGATGAGGTTGTTATGGTGGAGGTGGAATGTGGGACAGCTTTTCTGGGAACAGACTATGCATCAAAAGCCTTAAAAATATGTTTAAATGCAAACATTCAGAAAAAAATGTTTTCTTTTATAGTTCGTGTATTTTCCAAGTCTGATTTGTAGTCCTTAGCTGACAAATGTCGGTCTTTGTTTTTTAAATTATAGGTGGTTTTAATCTGTAAAAGTGAAAGTCATGAGCCTATAAGTCAGCTTAAGAAATAGAATGCTCCTTAGCTTGTTTTGTATAATTTTTAATACTTTCTTGTCATTATGCTTGTAACTTCAAACACGTGTATTTAAAACACCAGTTATGAGAGTAAACCTGATTGAGGTCTTTTGGTTTGGTTGGTTTTCACTGAGTTTACCTTAAATTGGTAAGGTAAATCACCAATTTAACTTAAAAACTTAAATTGGTTCAGTTTTTGCTTTTCTGGTATGTAATCATATGGTGTAAAGCGATTTTCTCCCATTTTTCCTCTTTGGCGATTGACTATTTTTCTACACCAGAGTCACATTGGTTACTCAGAATTCATTTAGCTCAGCACTTCTCTCAAAGTGTAATTGACCTACCTGGAATATATTAATACGTCTTTTCCTTTTGGAAACTTAGTTTTTATAAAGTGCCCCAAAGCCACTAAAATGAAACAGCAGTTTATAAAGCTCATGTAAGTATTAATCTAATGGCATTTTGTTTAAATCTCTTTGGAGTTATTGCAGTTGCAAATATTTGTAGAGATTTTTTAAAACTCTTTTGCTCTTTCAGTGAGGTGAAGACTTATGATCCTTCTGGTGACTCCACACTGCCAACCTTTTCTAAAAAACGCAAGATAGAACAGGTGGATCAAGAGGATGAAGTAATTGAAAAGAAGGCCAAAAAATCTAAGGTTAAAGTTAAAGGTTAGTTTGAATTTTTAAATGTCATTTATTCTCTTACTCCTTGAGTTCAGGCTTGATGAGTCTGAAAGTGTATGTCATTGGACTTGATTATGAAATCACTCATGTTGAAAGCTAGTAGTATTTTGATAAGCATTGTGTTCTCTCAGAATAGATAGGATATTGTTAAATTTATCAGATTTCATAGAAGAATGTGAGAAGCATTTCTATGAATATTGGAATTGCATATTTTACTAAGTATACTAATGAGCTATTTTCAGAATCAGCTTTAATTAGAAGAAAAAAATACGTGTTTTCTAAATAAGTTATTGAGATATTTTTGTTACACAGTTAAGTATAGAATTGATGCAGCAGTGGTTTTCTTCGGTGTTCCTGTTCTATAGAGTGGACTAGAGAGAGTGATAACATATTAGGTAGCCTGCCATTATAGTAGTATTTAAAAGGTGCTCTCCAGTAAACTAGGCTGTCTTACAGAATTGGTAAGCAAGTAACCCCATCCATTTATTAGCTGGACCTATGTTGAGTGGCTACCAGATAGTCTTGTGAGACAGGCATTAAAGCAATGACTGACTTAATTTTTGGTTTCTAAATAGCTCAGTGGTCAAAAATGTGTTATCAGCAAATGTGGACTCCTGCCCTAGATGAAGCAAACATTTCTTCAACTACTGTGCTTTTATTTTCTTATTGAACAGTAAGGAGCTCTCTAAACCCATTGGTAATATTTGAAAACATCAAACTCCAGATTTATATGTTCACTTATAAATCCAATAAGCTTTTCAAACTTAACATTCATGGATCCTTGCCACTCCCAGGCTGTTGCTCCACAGTTTCCCCCATCTTAACAAATGGCAGTTCTCATTACTTTGACCTTTAATTCTTGGATCATTTCTCCTATAACCCAAATCTGTTCTTGCAGAAAGTCCTCTTTAATTCTACTTTGAAAGTATCCAGAACCTAACCACCTGTAATACCTACCACTTCCTAATGTAACAGCCACACTGCTCTTCTTAGTATTCATTGAACCTGCTATCCATCCTTTTCTTCCAGATTGTCCTTAGCATTTGTTATCTCTGCCTAGAATGTTTTCCTCAAGATTTTTGCATTATTCACTTACATCTTCTAGGTGTTTGCCTGACTTCTGTGTAAAATGTCACTTCTGTGTAAAATTTGGACATTTTACACAGAGGAGTTCCTTTTCCTGCTTTATTTTTATCCATGGCACTGATTCTGTGTAAAAGACTGTATAGTGAGTGTGCCGTGTCGCTCCCCTTCTACTAAAATAAAAGATTCATAAGGACAGAGATTTTTGGTCTGTTTTGTGCCTTGCTCTATCTTCGAGTGATAAGAATAGAGCCTAGTATATAGTAGATGCTATGGTGAATGAATTTCTGATGATAGCTACCTATTACTCTTTGTTCTAATGTGCCAGGCATGGTGCAAAGTATTTTGTATGTGTTATCTCACTAAATCTTAGTAATCCAATGAGATACACATTACTAAATTTTAACTTTATGTTAAAATTGACTTTATGGAGGTTAAATGGCTTACTCAGGGCCATTGCTTACTCAGGAAATTGACTTTATGGAGGTTAAATGACTTACTCAGGGCCATTGCTTAGGTTGAATTAATGCATGTCTTGACTCTATAGCACAAACTCTTAAATTTCTAATATAATTGACTATCTTCCAAAAAACTGGGTGTGTGGATGAGATGATCTGTTTTAATTCTAATACCTATGCATAACTACATGATTATGAGAAATGTACTTCTCTCTGAGCTTTATATCATTTGTAAAGTTAGTGGTACTACAGTAAGTAAGTGTTGAAAGGACCTTTTCAGTTAAAAATTATATAAAACACTGGATGATTGACCAGAGTGACAGGAAAAAACTAAGATTCAAATCATTTGGGGGGGACTGAGGTCTGTTAATTGTTAATTATTTCACCATATTAATTGTTTTACCTTTACATTTACCCTATTCAGTTGAAGAAGTAGTAGAAGAAGAAGAAGAAGAACAAGCAGAAGCAGTGCTAGTGGTGGAAGAGCAGGAGATATCTGTGAAGAAGAAGAAGAAAAAGGACAAGAAGAAACACATTAAGGAAGAACCACTTTCTGAGGAAGAACCATGCACCAGCACAGCAATTCCTGTATGTTTGTTTTTAATGTCCACTACTTTATTGGCATGGGCAGTGTTTCCATATTTTATTCTACTCTGTATATCAGAAATGACCAAGCAGTTAAAAAATAATTTTCTTCATGGCGAGGTAAAAATAAAATGGCATTATTGTATTTATTATGAAAGGCTATTTCTTTTATTATAAAATGGGCTTGCTATCAATAAGGAAGAGAATAAAATCTAAGAAATAAATCTACTTTCCTTTTTTGAGGTAAAGTTATTACCCATACATTAACAACTCTCTCAAAAGCATTCTTGGTTATTTTCAGAGTCCAGAGAAAAAGAAGAAAAAGAAAAAAAAGAAAAATAATGAGGACTAATGGAAAGGAATCATAATTGAATAACCTGGATACATCGTGCTTACGATTCAGTCAGGAATATACCACAGATGCTTTCTAAAATAAGCAAGGATGAACAAAGATTGGATGGATGAAACAGGGATTATTCATCTATAGCTTTTCAAGCCTGTTTGTGTCCTGACATCAGCTGTTAACTTTATTAATGTCATTATTTCTTAGTCTTTGTTATATAAATAAAAATATTTTCTTTGTATTTTAAGGCAGTTCTGTGATCTCTATTTTATTTAATTGTATCTGAATTACTGTTTCGATTATTGTATCTGAAAAGAGAATTGTGAATCATTAATTTGAAACTTACCCTTTGGTGAGGCAGGGATTAGACGGACCAATTTAAGAATCTAATATGTTTCTGTTGTCCCTCTAGACTTTTTTTTTCCCTTTTCTCCTCTCTTTCTCCCTCTTTATTTAAATAAAGCTGTGTTTTGTGTTCAAAATTTTAAAATTAAGTGAGCAGACATTTTGGGCATCTCTTTAGAAAGAATAAAAATTGTGTCCCTAGTTTTATTCACTTGGTTTGCAGTTTCAAAAAGTACAACAAAAAAGTTATTACTAATCTAGACCCTGATTTGTTTCTAAAGTAATCTAATACAAACTCATTTTATAGTAAAGAATGGGGGAGAAAGGGGAAAACAAATTGTGCAAAAAAATAAAGTGCCGGTAGACATGAGGTATAAACCAGCACATAGAGCACTAAAAGAAACCTTTATTTCTAAAAGATAGTGTTTAATATGTGAACAAGCAGCCTGACTGACTGCCGTATAGTCATGACAGTCACAACTTTCATAGGCCTGTTATGTTTTGCATTTCTATTTAGGCCAGGAGCAACGATGCTCCTGATAGTGCTGATACCCAGTTCAGTAAAAGCATTCAGGGGTTTGAGGTAGTTAGAATGGTTATAACTTTGAGTTCCATCTCTGCTTTTAATGTAACTCTGGGCAAGTGAACAGCCCCTCTTTGCTTTTCTTATTTGTAAGTCAGGAATAATGGTCAACTTTACCTCTCATAACTCGTTTGGAGAAAATAAGATGGTACAAATTTCAGAAATGTAAGTACATTTCAAATTTAGGTATTTTGATTGACATAAATGCAGCATGAAATACATGTAGCCATCTGTAGACAAAATTCTAAAATACAAAGCTGGTTCTATTTCCCCCAAGACAGTGTTGTTATTTTGCCTCACCCAGACACTTCATAAACAAATTTTTATTTTCAACAACTTTTACACAAAAGTGTCCCATAGACTGCCAGGGGTGGTGTATAGTCAAAGCTTTATATCTGAAACAAGATACACTTGGAGATTACTAAACTCCTAGTCAATTTGAGTGGTCCACAGGCCTGGGAAAAACTTAAGTTGAATCACAAAGCTATCAGCTTTCTTAAATGCTAAAGTCTGAACTGTTTAAATTGTTAACCAAAAGGTGAGTTAGGTTCTTTGTGCTAAAAATGAAGTACTTGTCCTATTGTAGAGCTTTGGGAACTTGGTCTGAAATGGGAAGCTGGGGTGAATTTTATATACCTAATTTTGGTTAGTAAATTTGAAGAATTTTTTTTGCAATGGCCACATAAAATAACCTCTGCTTAAATAACTTATTCTTCATTGTACTGTACCCCTTTCTCTTCAAAAAAGTAAATTTGTATTTTCTGGTTTAAACTAACTTTTATATATCTCTACTGTCTTCTGGGTCCTCACTATGCTTATCAAGGCCTTGGTTGAACCATCTTCTCTAGAGCTCCAACCTCGGAACATTTTGCTGCAGTTCTCTGTCCATGAAGAGTTTTCAGTTCATTTGTTGCATCTCTAAGGCCATAAGGCCATCTTTTAAAACTTGGCTCTGGCTAATCCTCTGTCTCCGGCTGTACCTCTATGATTCTGAAAAGTGCAAGTTACTCTATGTTGGAACGTTTTTTAATAGCCTGAAAGTTGGGATCTTGTTGAAATACATGGTGGTTGGGTATATGGATGTTTGTTGTGCTTGCTTTCTGTATGCTCGAAAGTGATCATAATTAAAAGTGTTTATTTTTAAAGGGATAACACTATTTTGCTTTAATTTGAAGTTCTTTATCTCTGAAAATTTCCGATATATTTATACGACATTCTTTACTTTTTAAAATATTTATTTTTAGGGAGTGGGAAAGGAGGGAGAAAGAGGGAGAGAAACATCAATGTGTGGTTGCTTCTTGCGTGCCTCCTACCAGAGACCTGGCCTGCAACCCAGGCATGTGCCCCGGCTAGGAATTGAATTGATTCTTTGGTTCGGAGGCCCACGCTGAATCCACTGAGCTACACCAGCTGGGGCTATACAACATTCTTGATCAGCAAGCATTTGGGGCACCCACGAGAGGCCAGGTACTTGTTAGGTAGCCAGGAGAATTCAGGGAATACCACAGCAGGTGCTGTCCTCAGGGAGTTTACAAAGTGAACTTCAAGCTTCAAACCTTCCTGATAAAGAAGGTTTCTACTTTACTTGCTTGAAGAAGGGAATGAAGGGAAGCAACAAGTAGAGATCTCAGAAGAGATAAATAGTCCTGGTTGATGTGGTTCAGTGGATTGAGTGCTGGCCTGTGAACCAAAGGGTCGGTGGTTTAATTCCCAGCCAGGCCACATGCCTGGGTTGTGGGCCAGGTCCCCAGTTGTGGGTGTGTGAGAGGCTACCGCACATTGATGTTTCCCTCTCTTTCTCCCTCCCTTCCCCTCTTTAAAAATAAATTTAAAAAAAATTTTTTTTAAAGATAACATACAGGCGTTCTGAAAGCAAAAGCTGTGAAGAGAAATTCTGAGTTTATGGAAGAGAAATCCCTTTTGCTCTATTAGCAAGATACTATACACTGAAGAAAGTGCAAAACAGCAGCAGAGACCTACCCCATGGCAGGTAATAAGAGTTGTACGTATAGCTGTATGCCATTGTACCCCCATCATTGCACTATCACTATCACTCATTGTACGCCATATCTGCACCCTAAGATTTCCCAGCATCCTTTGAGATTTGGCTATTTGGTGCTCACCTGAAGAACCGTGCTGTGCCATAAGTGTGGGTAAGCCATCACGTGAATTCTTAGGGCCTCAAAACTCCTGCCTTCCTAACCTGAGCCAAGAAGCAGACAAGGGCTTGGTTTCTAGCAGGAGTAAATGTGCCTGACTCCAGGAAAAGAGCTGGTCAGACAACTAATGCATCTATTTATATCCTATAATCTGCTGGGCCAGCAACATGCTAATAACTAGCTGGGCATGATGAAGAGGCCACAAAGTGTGAGAATGGGAACATCCCTGCACTAGTGGTCAGAGAAAATAATATACGTGAAAGTGTTGCATAAGCCAGAAAGTACTATATAAATTAGTATCCTTGTGGCTGTTATGAGCTGGTTTCATAGTTCACGTCCCTGGACAAATCAAGGCCTCTCTCAGCCTTAGTTTCTTCTATAAAATGGAAATAATTTTTACTGATAGAGCTCTTGGAAACTCATCATTTATTCAAGAATTGCTTATAAACTGAACAAATATAAAATATTATCACTCTAAATCTGTTCTACTTAAAAACAAGGAGACCCAAGAGTTACATATTCCAGGGGAGAAGTCCGTGGAAGGGATTAGGGAACCTATGGTAGCCACCAGCAGCCATTTATTTACCAGACCCATCTCTTATCCCTGGGCAGCCAACTACACTGTATTCTTCGGCCTTCCTTACAGTTAGATAGTACTGAGTTCTAGATAATGGAATGGTAGGGGTGTAACATGTCACTTACTAGCCCGTTCCATAAAAATCCCCCACTACAGTTTTCAGTGCCCTGTTCTGTCCCACCCCCTCTGTTGATACAGAAACAGCAACTTGGGGAGCCAGGTGTTAAGATATAGGAGCTATAAGGTATGAAACCTGGGGCTCTGAAACCACTACTGGCTTGGAGGACAACTAACTACCCACGGATTAGGAACATCCATTTTGGACTTTATATAGAGGAAGAAAGAAGCTTGTTATATTTTGGGTCACATTAGTTTAAAACATGAAATTGCCAAATTTTTTGATATATAAAAGTCACATGATTCAACCTAATAGATATTTTTGTTTCAGCAGCTAGTGTAACCTTAATAAACCATCTTAGAAAAAGTATTTTTTTAAAGATTTTATTTACTCATTTTTAGAGGGGAAGAGAAGGAAAAAGAGAGGGAGAGAAACATCAATGTGTGTTGCCTCTCGAGTGCCCCATCCTGGGGACTTGGCCCACAACCCAGGCATGTGCCCTGACTGGGAATCAAACTGTTGATCCTTTGGTTAGCAGCCCATGCTCATTCCACTGAGCTACACCAGTCAGGGCACAAAAAGTATTTTTAACAACCATGTTTTCAAAGGTGAGAAAAATTAGGATTATTGATCTTGTGGGTCAGATTCTATTGGTTTAACAAAGTTCATTTTGTTTTTTTCCCATAGGATGGCTCCAGTAGTGCTTAGTTGTCTAATTTCATTCAAAACAATTTTGTTAGACTGTATTGTGACACCTGACATACCAGTGTGCATTTAAAAAAAATGGTGAATTTTTTTTGTGTAGGCATTTTAATATTAAAGTTGGGAGAAAATATGCAACATTTTTGGTGTATTATGCTTTATTATTTCAAGGAGGGTACTCTGGCTGATGTGGCTCAGTGGATTGAGCACCAGCCAAAGAACAAAAATGTGCCCAGTTAGATTCTCAGGGCACAGGCCTGGGTTGCAGGCCAGGTCCCCAGTTGGGGGCATGGGAGATATAACCCATCCATGTATCTATCTCTCATGCACTGATGTTTCTCTCCCTCTCCCTCCCTTTCCTTCTCTTTAAAAAGAAATCTTTTATAAAAAAATGATGATGGGACTGATTGAATTTGTCAGAAGTGGTTTGTGAAGTTTTGTGTTGGGGGGGTTAAAGTTAATAATGGTCAAATCAAACATTAATTGAGAACAATCAGTGTTCTACCACTGAGGAGATAGCTAACATACTCAAAATACTCAGATCAATAAAGGTATTGGTGAAAATAAAAATGTGTCTTATTTTATGGAAAAAAAACTAAATGGACTTTTTGGCTGACTCAATAACTTCCTGTCATTGACCCATATTTTAGTGCAAAGATATTTGATTTGTTCCACAAAATGTTGGCCAACATAGTTCTGTTTTTTGGTTTTTTAAATTTACCTGGTGACATTGGTTAATAAAATTATATAGGTTTTCTGATGA